ATGCTACGCCCTAAAACTGAAATTAAAGAAGGAATTTGATAACGAAAAAAAAAAATTTAAAAAAATAACTTTTCTAATGGTCCGTTCGTAATAGATAAGATTTCTATTCGTGATCCCCAGTGTCCAGCGTTCTTGTAACATTCTGCAAGCGCATCTGCTTCTGAGCTTGAAGTCAATGGCTTCGTCATTCGCCATATCCCCACACGTTGTCTTGAAGGAGGTACAAGTCACTCGTTTGAAGTAAATGTAAAAAAATAGAATAAAATAAAACGACAACAACAAATGCCATCAGAACTGGACTACGATCTGTAGATTTTAAAAAAATATATTTTCTCTGGGGGAAATCGGGTTTAATTTCAAACTAAGAAAAAAACTGAAAGGTTTATTTTATCGGACAGATTAGGTGGATTGGTACCGGGGAGACTCTGGGTTATCTAAGAGAGTTGACAACTATGATAAACTTTATACAGTATTCGTGGATTGAATTTAAGCGACTTATAAGAATATAATACAGTGAATAAACCAAGAGTAACTGAGCCTACAGGAATGAGGATACCGGTTTGCTGATAGATATATTTTGAAATGTTCTTCCTCTAACTCTTTTGTCGGCTTTAACAGGTTTCCCTCTTCTTTCAATTATGTGATTGGCGCTTTCCTTTGGAACTTGGCACGAATTGGAATAACTGTTCCGTCACCATCCAATACCGAGCTCAGAAAGATGGAAAGGGCATATATTAAAGGAACTTAGGGCGCTTTCCATTTGTCAGAACTGGCCGGCTGGATCTTTGCCTGACCAGTCATTTTGAAAATGAAATAGGATTTTTCCAAGAGTTTTGCCGAAAAATGTTCTCTTTCGAGCATACTATTTCGGATTTGACTGATCTAGCTGAAGAGTTTGATTAAAAGGGAAATTATCATTGCGACGGGAATGGTCTGGCTGGTCAGTTCTGAGCTAAAATAAAGTCTGTTTCGCTTTCAATGGCTAGAAAGAGACCATGTCGATCTATGCCCAGTTACGTCCTTAATAGTTTGATAGCGACAATTTAACAATCTCAGTTGATCTCTGCTTATCCCTTCTATCAAACGAACACAGAGTACCTACTGATGACTCGAAGGAGCACGAACCTTCCATAGCTTCATCGAAGAAGAGCGCACACAATCAGTGTTTATGCTGAGATCTTTTTCTTTTTCAAGTGGGAATGAACGGTTGAATCAAATTAAACTAAATTTAATTCGATAATGTTAATCAAATGCCTAAAATGTCAAAATATTAAAGATAATTCTCAGGTAAAATAATGTCAACTGGAGTATTTTTGAAGAAGGAGGAATATAAAAGATGAAGCTTCTTCAGTGTACTGGGAAAAACGGGTGAAAGTCGGTGAAGCTCGTCACGTGTATATTACCGGAAGTAGACCCTTGGCACACTCCTATGCAAATGAGATTAGTTGAAGTGAACGGATCCACGAGCAAGCAACTTTGCTTTGTTGACAGTTAAACTACCGAGCTTTATTTTATAGACGGCTTTTTTAAGGTCCAGGGTTCTCAAAATTTTAACAAACATGAGATGTTAACTTGAAAACATTAGAGAAAACAGAGGGATGAAGAAATTACCAGAAAGCTGTCACGCACCTCCAACGCACACATTCCAGCGGACATCATGACTACGGTAACATAGGTGATAAGACTGCAAAATGAAACAACTTGGAGCTTAAAGTACAACAGATACAGGTTAAGGTGAGCTTTTTAAAAAAATTGTTCTACATATCAAGGCTACCAGCGTTGTAAACGGAAACCTAAAGTCAAATTGTTGGTGGTGGTCGTGTGACTCATGTGTTGGATGCCGTTATTTTATGTTGTCTGTAACACGAATTTGAAATAATTTCTGAGAAGCTCAAAATGATTTCCCCAAAATAATTTTAACATAACACAATAGTTTGATGCATGTAGAGTTTTCCCTTTCAATCTTGAAAAATTCTGATCAAAGGCACATGACGAAAATCGTCGCTTTTTTCAACTACCTTCCGTGGTTGAACCACAGGTGACCCAGGCTCTGTGATAGTACCACAGTACGGTTCCAGTAAAATTATAGTGTTTGTATGGGGTAAAAATATCATCCTAAAATTTCTAGGAAATACTAAATAAAGATCAATGAAACTTACTCTGCAGTTAATTGTTATTGTCCTTATTGCTCCAACGAAGTTTCGTGATAATTTGCAGTAATTTGTTCAAATTCACTCTATCTACAATAATAATATACAAGGTAGGAAACACGAGGTGCCATTTTCGCCGACATGCTCTCATTCAACACAACTTTTTCCACGAAATTCGAACTCCAACGGAAAATAAACATGCCAGGATCGTAGAAATAGGATAGCAGCAGATATAGAAACCAATGAAGCTTTCCCAGATAGAGAAACGAATCCCACAGACTTGGACAAACTCGAAGAATATAATCCAAACACACCGAGAATACGCTCGCCGAAGCAGCCGGGCCAGATCAACGCGCGGCCAAGAAAATGAGGCCTGGGCACTGTGCAAAAAAATTCCATCCCAGGAGTCCTGGGGTGACCTTTCTAGGGACCGATACATCATTTGCCCAAAGCCACCCTCCCCTGCTGGAAAAATACTTGATAGAAGGCAATTGTTCTTCCTAGCCAATCACCATTTGCCAGAGCAAACCCCGCACACGCGCCTGAATTTAAATGGCTAAAAAAAAAGTAATATAATTAGGAGAGTCTGCGGAGTTACAAGGCGTCCCATTTCTTTTACTAAGGAATGCAAATAACAGTAATGAAACTAATGAAATAACAACGTGAAATGCTTACAAGGCGGGCTAAAAACAAGGTTGAACAAAAGGTAGATGATGACTGAGATACTGTTGCTGTGAACTCTCGAGCGAAACTATCGTAAATAAACGGTGAAGCTTACAAACTAATGTCAAAAATTATACAGAAAATTGCGACAGAATATGAATTGCGATAACTGAGACGAATGTGAAAGGCACGTGCACTAGCTATAGTAAACAAAGAACTAGCGCGATTAACATATTTAGCGATTAATGCGGCAGTAACACGCCGACTTCTTGTCAATACAAGTGAACGCTCTATCGGTTAAATATGTGAATCATCGTGATACACCTCTCTTTGAATTTGGTCCTGTTGTACAAATGCCTCGGTAAGAGCCAAAATTCACTTATATCTTTTGCTCGTTTTAAGTTTTGTAAATCGTCCTTCGTTGTTCTTTCCTTTGCCCTTATAACCTTGCCCTATTGATGTTTGATAAACTTTCTGAGGACCAGCGCCAGGAGCTGAATATAGTTCGAGAGGAAAATAATCTCTTTATAACAGGCCATAGTGATTGGCTAGGAAGAACAATTGCCTTCTATCAAGTATTTTTCCAGCAGGGGAGGGTGGCCTTGGGCAAATGATGTATCGGTCCCTAGAAAGGTCACCCCAGGACCCCCGGGATGGAATTTTTTGTACAGTGCCCAGGCTTCATTTTCTTGGCCGCGCGTTGATCTGGCCCGGCTGCTTCGGCGAGCGTATTCTCGGTGTGTTTGGATTATATTCTTCGAGTTTGTCCAAGTCTGTGGGATTCGTTTCTCTATCTGGGAAAGCTTCATTGGTTTCTATATCTGCTGCTATCCTATTTCTACGATCCTGGCATGTTTATTTTCCGTTGGAGTTCGAATTTCGTGGAAAAAGTTGTGTTGAATGAGAGCATGTCGGCGAAAATGGCACCTCGTGTTTCCTACCTTGTATATTATTATTGTAGATAGAGTGAATTTGAACAAATTACTGCAAATTATCACGAAACTTCGTTGAAGCAATAAGGACAACAACAATTAACTGCAGAGTAAGTTTCATTGATCTTTATTTAGTATTTCCTAGAAATTTTAGGATGATATTTTTACCCCATACAAACACTATAATTTTACTGGAACCGTACTGTGGTACTATGACAGAGCCTGGGTTACCTGTGGTTGAACGACAGGTAGACATACGCTTTAGCTTTTTTATAATTACTCAGAGTGTTGTAATGCTAAAAATATTATATATTTTGGTCAACGACGAGTTGTACTTACAAGTTTAGAAACAAGCTTTTTTTCTAGCGCGGTGGTTTTGAACTGCAAGTCGAGCGAATCATAGTGAATTTCAACCCTGTTTTCGGCTTGCGAAATCGACGGCGGGGCTTGAAACGGTTTTCTTGTTTTTCTCGGAAACGAACAGATCTTTCGAAGAAAAAACTACTTGGCGTTTGTACACTTACTAAAGTCTATCAGTATGCAAAAGAAGAGCGATTTTTATTTTTTGAGCCTTGCCGCACTTTGGTCGATATTTGCATGGAGTTACTCTTAACTCTTTTATGAATTACTAAGTTAATTTTATTTCTTTTCTTCACAACGAGGTGCCTGGTTATTCTATCTACCGTAGAGACAGGGTAAACAACTCTGGCGGCGGTGTCATGGCATATATAAACGATAACCTGAATGTTATTCGTAGAACTGATCTGGAAAATCAAGAAGTTGAAGTCATTTGGCTTGAAGTTTGTCCTTTTAAATCGAAACGATCTTTATTGATTGGTAGTATTTACCGCCCACCCTCATACACCAAAGCTGATGATTTATCTCTGGAGGCAAATTTGGAACGTGTGTACTTGCTGAATAAGGAGACAATATTTTTAGGCGATGTGAATATTGATGGAAGAAATAAGAAGAGCTTTGAAAAACATCGGTTAATTAAAGCGGTTCATGGTATGAATTTCACACAGCTAGTTAATGAGGTGACGCGTCCAGTTAGCGGTACTTGTTTAGATCACATCTATTCAAATCATCCTAAATATAACAACGCAAATATAACAATGAGCGCGCATCTTGTAGCATGCAGAAAAATCAGAATATTAGATATCGTGACATGAAGCAATTCGACGAGAACCGATTCAAAGAAGCACTGAGTCAGGCCCCTTGGGATACAGTATTCGTATTTGATGAGATTGATGATATGCTGGACTCTTGGGAGTCACTTTTCAATAGCGTACTTGATGAAAATTGCCCCTGGCGTGAAAAGCGTGTAAAGCGCGCTGTCCAAGCTCCTTGCATGACTAGCTCTGTCTTGAAACAGCTACACCTGAGAGATAATTGCCTAAAAACCGCAAGGCGTTCCAATAATGCTGATGATTGGTCTAATTACAGAGCGGCAAGAAACAAAGCGGTTGCGATGATTGGGAGCGCAAAACGAAAATTTTTCTGCAATGCCTTCGAGGAAAATAAAGGCAATTCAAGAGGAATATGGAAGACAATAAGAACACTGACTGGCTCAGGAAAGAACAGACGCGATATTAACAGTATTAATATCGGGGAAGCTGTTATAGATGACAAAAAGCTAATGGCGCAACATTTTAACGCTCATTTTTCCAGTATAGCAGATAGGTTAAGATCTACATTACCGCAAGTTCCATCAGACCCCTCAAAGCTGCAAGACTTTGTCAGATCCAGAAAAAGTCCTGATACATCTTATGTTATTCCATCCATCACTAGTGCGCAGGTGCTTACTTTGTTACAAAAGTTAAGTCCGCGCAAAGCTGCTGGCATTGATAAAATAAGTTCTCAGCTTTTGCGTATAGCGGCACTTGTTATAGCACCTGTTGTTGCGAGATTGATTAACTTTTCCTTTTCCAGTGGATCATTTCCAAGTCGTTGGAAAACAGCTAAAGTTTCTCCTCTGTACAAGAATGGTGACTCACGTGACGTTCAGAATTTTCGACCAATATCTGTGCTACCTGTCCTTTCTAAAGTTATCAAGAGACATGTGCATGACTCCTTATACAGTTATCTAACTGAATACAATCTGATTTATCCTCGCCAGTCTGGTTTTTGGAAGAATCACAGTACAGACACCGCTCTCATACAGATAATTGACGAATTGCTCTTCAATTTAGATAAGAATAGAGTTAGTGGCATGGTGCTAGTAGACTACTGTAAAGCCTTTGACATGGTAGATCATGGTCTTCTTCTGGATAAGCTGAAAGTATATGGTGTTGCTGGCGAAACAATGAAGTGGTTCCAGTCTTATTTGGCGGACAGATACCAGCTTGTCCATTTGGGTGGTTGCGTCTCAGACGTGGCGCTTATGAAACATGGGATTCCTCAGGGCAGTGTACTCGGCCCCTTGTTTTTCACAGTTTTTATTAATGACCTGCCACTTCTTGTCAGCTCCTCTGAAATCGATCTTTATGCAGATGATACTATAATCACATCGTCAGCAGATTGTGGCAGCATGGGAAGACTGCAGGAATCTCTTAATACATCTGTATCAGAAGTTTTTAACTGGGCATTGGCCAACAGGCTTCCACTCAACGAAAAAAAGACCAAGGTCCTCACCGTGAAGGGAAAGCGACTCTCGACCAAAATAAACAATAACCCTGAGATTACTTGCAATGGCAGTTTATTAACTAACGTTATGAACGTTAAGCTACTAGGTCTTGAGATTGATGAAGAGCTATCTTTCTCTGAGCATATTACGACTGTTTGTAAGAAAGTTTCACAGCGCATCGGCTTGTTAAAGAAAATTATGAATTATCTGCCCCTTAAACAAAGATTACTTTATTACAATGCTTTGATCAGGCCATTGATTAATTATGCAAGTGTCCTTTGGACTAATTGTGATAAGGAAAGCCTTGGGCGGGTCCTGAAGCTCCAAAAACGAGCAGCTAGAGTAATCCTGAATGCCCCCCCTCAAGCACCATCAGTTCCCTTGTTTAATCGGCTGAAATGGTTGCCTTTTGATAAAGACGCTTTAATATCTAAATGTATCATTGCTTATAAGCGATTACAAGGTGACGTCCCTGTTTATCTCAACGATCTACTTAAATTAAACAGTAACATCCACAGTAGACAAACCAGGTACTGTAATTTTAACCTAACCTCTCCGAGGTATAATCGCGAAACAGAAGGAGGCAGAACTTTTACCGTAACAGCTTGCAAAGCATGGAACAGCTTATCTTTGCCTGTAAGGCAAAGGGACTCAGTTGACTCTTTAAAAAAAGCATTGTGGATTGAATTTTTTAAACAACAGCAGAATCTCGATCATCATGGCCAGAAATTCCGGACAAAATGGCGGAATTTGAGCCCGCGCAGCGGTATGCGGCTTTCTCCATAATAATAGAGAAACAAACATGGCGAAATCCATGGCGAGCAAAAAGCGTTCACTTCCAGTCGACTACACACAGCTGCATTCTCTCTCTTCGGTTGTTTTATACGACACCTCATTCAAGAAATCTAGGGGGAAACTGTACGACGTCGAGAGAATCATTGAGCGTCGAAAGACAAGATATGTAAGTTTTTCTTTATACTATTTATTTCACGAACTTTTGAAGGGCCATTTCGCTAGAATCGGTCTTACATGGGTTTCTTTTGCTGGTCTTCGACGGGTTTGTTTTGCCGCTCTTACACGGGTTTATTTTCCTGTTTTAGACGGGTTTATTTTATCGGTCGTCTTCAATGGGTTTTCTTTTTCCTGCCTTAGACGGGTTTATTTTGCCGGTCTTACACGTGTTTATTTTTCCTAGTCTAGTTTATTTTTTCTAGTTTCCTAGTGCCGCTGCTTCTTTGTAGTAAACCATCAATTCTTGCGCAGTCTTCCTTAATTTTAACGCCGTATTCGTCAATCATGGCATTCAAAATTTCCACGTAGGAGAATTGACACAACAAGCCCCCCTCCTCTCGAAGGTCACGCCAACTTCTAAGGTGCTCGTTCGGAATGTTAACCGTAAAAGCAATGTTATCTCCATCAATACAATCTTGTTTCACGTAATTCAGGCAATGTTCAGTTGATAAAGAAATGTTTTGTTTGAACTTACTGAGATCATAACCTTCTAACCGGTCCGACATTTTTTTTTTTTTTTTGGTAACGAAATCCAAAACTAGAACGTAAACGTACGCGCGCAAAATTCCCGCTCTTTACAACGCTGACCAACCTGATTGTTTAACCACTCTCCCCATTTCTCAACGGAGTCTGAAGGCCTGGTTTAAAGCTTTATTTTGATATCAAAATGGCGACCCAACGAAGCTGGCGAACGCCATGAAGAAGTGAGTTTTTCGCGTAAAAAATCGAGCTACCATGAGCTCATTTTCGCAACTTCACGGTTGAGTGATTCTGCTTTTGCAGTTTTATATTTATGTGTTACTGTGTGTTTTCATCGCCAAAAAGGACGCTGTTAATCGTTATCAATCGACCTGAAAATATTTGGACTTTGAACTTGGCAAAATTAATCCATCCCACGGAAACATGGCCAGCTGCAATGGAAGACTGCTACTTCTGGAATTTTCCGCGTAAAATAGAAGGCTAAAGAGAGCTAGAGTAGCGCTAAAATCGCACTAAAAAAGGACGGTGTTAACGGTTTGGTGTAGATTTGACATTCACAACATGGGATCACGGTTGTTTCTTCTAACGGATTCCAACTTGGGAAATGTTACAGGTACGCCAGAAATTATTCTATCCTCAATTATATTTTTTCGCTCCATACATTTCTTTGTAAACCTAATCGCCATGTTTGTTTCGGAGATATGAGATAGCCGCTGCCGTTTCGCGGGCGCCACGTCCGGAATTTTTGGCCAAGTTTTCTATAGTTACTTGATGAACTGTGAGATGATTATAATGCTATATTTTATCTTTTAAATAATTTAGTAGATTCTATAGTATCTGTATTCTTTGGTTTTTATCTTGTATTTTTTCATAGCTTAGTATACTCATTTATTATTTTATTATTTATTTATTTATTATTTAGAGGGCCACAAGTTTATTAGCCCCGGCTATTTCGTGCTAACCCTCATAAAATAAAGTCTTTACTTACTTACTTACTTACAACAAGACAAGATAAGGCGGCGATTTTATTCGTTTTATTCCTTTTCCTGTATAAAACGTTGCGTAACGCAGTATTACAAAGCGCTCATTGTAGTGAGCTTGGGATGCCTTTGCAAGCACCGAGGCCAGTTAAATTTAGAAGATTGGGAAGAGTAAACAATGTGAACAAAATGACGGACACAAGGCTATAAAAACAAGGTGCCCATCTACGTACCTTCACTGCCTCCCGTGACTCATGTACTACAACTGGAGTGAACTGTATTGCCCCCCCTCCCCCAACCTAACCAAGAAAATGCGTAGACTGTAGGATAACAACTGACGAGCTAACCTTAAAAGATACTAACAAAACCACGACTAAAGTATGCCATTACTCCTAGCCTGCCTGCAAGCTCTCGGGGCGCTCTGGCGGCGGGGCGGGAAAAGGAAGGACGGGCGCGAATGTAAACAAAAAACACGTGCCAGGGGTAATTACTGATGTCGTCTCCGCCAATCAGCATTTCGCATCGACTTTTTCGATGTAGATATTCAAATTCCAGAGACGTAGGTTCAAGCTCTCTTTCCTTTTCCTGCCAGCGCCCCGGAGAGCTTGCTCGCAGGCGACATTACTCCTTGATCAAAAAATCCTATTTGTGAACTGATCGTTATTAGGAAAGACTGAGGATCTTATCCATTCCCTAAACGCACTTCAGTTCCTCAATGGTCCTTCGTTTGTGTTCGCCAATCAAAGTTTTGGCTGGCAGGAGTTTTGTGTATTGTATGCTGAACCTGAGAACATTTCTACCATACGGTTTGGCTGGGATAAACTGGAACTCCGAAGTTACCTGTTTGAGAACCCAAAGGATCCGAAGAAGCAGCGGTCACCTCCGACAGGCATGCGTAGTGCTGTTCCCTTAGGAGGTCTTGGTAAGACACTGATACCGTCATTAGAGGCAGGTAGCGTTATCCTTGTCTAGCCGACGGGCAGCATCGACGTTGTTGCCCATCTGCTGGACAAGGGTAACGCAGACTCTGCGAGACACAATAGGCCGCTTCCGAGTTCCAAAAACCCTCACTTTCAAAATGAGGTCAAGTACACAACCTTTCTTGTGAAAATGAGTTTTATTTGTATGAGAATGAAAAATCATCTCCATATCAAAGGCCAAGCGCTTAATCACGTTTTGATACTGAGGCCTGGGGGAACTCGGAAATGGCCTATTGGTAAGTTATGAGCACGTTACAGACGGGTAATAGGTAAAACTTACCTTTGAGTTTTCAGAACAAAGCGAGGGTCTTTTCATGAACCAGCTAACATAGCTAAAAACGTCCGACTGAGAAAGCAAACTCTTTTTAGTCGCTGAATCAAGAAGCATCTTCAGAAGATCTTTTAGTTCCATTTCCATTGCATTGTTTCACATAATTAAACAGCCCAGACAATTTTCCATGCAAATATTGCAAGTAAATCATAGATTTGGAAAGCCGTCGTCCTTGTCACTTGGTTGTTAGAACAAACAATTAAACAAAAACAAACCTCTAGTACATACAGTACAAATTTAAAGATCTACAATTACCTTTGTAAATTAGTCCTAGTCAATCTTATTGGATGGCCATAAATACTGGTGCCTGAACCTATACCGTACCTTTATCTTGTTGCATCGGTTGTTATTTATGCATACAACATGACTTACGCACATTCATGGCCTTTTCTTGCATTTTTAAAACATCTCTTATCGTCCTGCTTTTACTCCGACAAGGATTACAATTTTTTTTGTCGCATGCCTCGCTATAGATCATTTAAAACAGCGTGGGGGGCTTAACTGGTTGGCTGCCCAGAGTTGTGTTGTTAGTCTTATGTGTCTTATGTGACCTCAAACTTTCCTCAGACGTTTATCCTCAACATAACATTTTCACTCCCGTTTATGTTTTCGCTGTCTCGACTACGCCTAATAAGTAGGTGAAAGGAGCGTTGCTTAGTTATGACTTGCTGTACTATGTTATATCTTTTAGGTACGGGATCATTTGAGCTTCGTGGAGATGGCTCTATCCACGAGTGGACCATTGAAAACCAGACTCCGGCAGGCTCGGCCAAGCTTAACTTCGCAGCACTTGAATTAGCTGTGTTCAGTGTCAGAGTAAAGACTGGGACGTCAAGTTCAGCAGCATTGCTGCGCACCCACCCCCCGATGGGTTACCCCGGTAATTTAATCAGCTTTCAAGACTTTAGTGCCAGAAGCAATTCTTAAGGCTGCGCATTCTATTTCTTACAATGTTTTCTTTTTTAAAAATTCATATAATTATTTTAGTCATTAGTGTCGTACGTAATAATCTAAAAGCCGCACCGCCCGTAAGTAACCGCCAGCTCCTAATGAGAGTCGCATTTGAAGCAAAAATATCACAAAGCGCCGGATCCTGTCGATGCAGCAGTTGTGGTTTTTGATATGGCTAATGCTGAAAAGTTAATACCACTGATATTGTTATTGGTGTTATTACATTTATTTAGACCTGGAAAGAAACACGGACCTTTTTTTATTGCGTCCTTTATATATTGTATCGTTTTGTTTTTTCACAAAAAAATCAAAGTAATAAAACAAGGGAAAATGACTTGGCACAGCTTCCCACCCAGATGTTCTTAGGGTATTGTCACGTGTTCCTTCCCCTCAAACTTTTGGGAGGATTGCGTGACGAGCCAAATTTGCAAATAGATAGTTCTAAATAAGCGCCGCCCTCGAGTAGGCCCCCTACCGAAGAGTGAAAAATTCGACAAACGCACGGGTACTCTTTCGTGTATACTTGTAGGGTTTTCAATAGTTTCCTTTTTCCCTACCAGGTGTCGATTCAATAGGATATTCTGGCTCCTACCCAGTTTCCAAGTTGACTATTAAAGACCAACGGTTTGGAGACGTCTTATTGGACCTTTTGGCCTTCTCAGCCCTGAAACCACGTGATTACAAAACATCTGCTACTCCGGCCATTGCTTTTACGTTACGCATCCATAACCCAACCAGGAAGTCTGTTCAAGTATCATTTATGTTAAATCTGCCTCTAGGTATACAACCAGACACAGTAAGACTTGGGAGACCTGACAAAACCATCAAAAGTACGAATGTTATACAGTGCTCGAGGGCTTGTATTGAAAACAAACAATGCATGTCGTGGCAAATGGCCAAAGAAAACAAGACATGTCAGTTGTTCTATCAGGTCCCTCCTCATGCTTGGCACACAGGGTTTATTTCCGGTCAGAAGAGCACGTGGACAGCTCATGATTCAATGCTAACGCTCAAGAGGCCTGGGAAATATCCTCAAAGCGGCAACACAACTATTGCTACAGGCGGCAAGCGAGTTAGCCCTTCATTTATGGTCAGTGACAGTTTTGAACAAATTTGGAAGCAATTTGAGGAACATGGCTATCTTGTGTCAACATCTAAAACATTTGGGAGCGGTTTTCATGGCGCTACAGCTGTAAACGTTACCGTGAAGCCTGGGGAAGAGAGAACGCTTACTTTGGTTTTGGGGTGGTTCTATCCCAACAGAGATTTCACGGGTATGCTTTACATTAACAATTATAGTCCCGCATTATGTTTAAAACGCACCATCAGAAAGAAATTGTAAATTTATACAGCGTAGATCCTAACGGAACCATTTCAACAGCAAAACATGAAAATAGCTCCTGGGGCGAAGAGGGTCAATTGACACTTGTAGTGAAGCCGTTTATCTGTCTAGATCAGAAAAAAATCCTGGAGTACGTGTTTTATTTAAAATAAGGGGTTGCTGATATCTCCATCCTTTCCTTCAGGAAGTGGGCGACGATTAGAAATGAAGGCGTAGCAGATATTCCCGAAGCAAAGTCTGCTGGAAGTTTCCGAGGATTTTTTTAAATACTCTCTAAGGCTAAAACCATCCCAATGACTGACTCGAAACAGTCTATAATGGCGTTTAATAAGACTCAGTTTTCCAATACATAGAGCAAAAATAAACCCTCCGCATAATCAAAAAAAGCAACCTAACG